TGCAGTGGTGCGATCTCAGCTCACTGCAATCTCCGCCTCCCGGGTTCAAGCAATTCTCCTGCCTCAGCCCCCTGAGTAGCTGGGACTACAGGTGAACACCACTATGCCCGGCTGATTTTTGTATTTGTTTAGTAGGTGGGGTTTCACCATGTTAGCCAGGCTGGTCTCGAACTCCTGACCTCAAGTGATCCGCCCACCTCAGCCTCCCAACGTGCTGGGATTACAGGCCTGAGCCACTGGACTCAGCCAATTTAACTGTTCAGTTTTAGGCATCAGTACTATATTTACATGGTTAAAATAAAAACATCCGCTGTTTGGTGGAAAACTCCCCTCTGCTGACCACTCATCCCCACTGTTCTTATTTTTTATGGATCCTTCTAGAGTTCCTGTATGTACATACAAATAAAAGAGACCCTTATTTTCACTTCTCTTATTTTTTAATTTAAAAACCTCCCTTTTTTTTTTTTAGAGGATCTCACTGTATTGCCCAGCCTGTAGTGCAGTGGCACCATCATAGCTCACTGCAGCCTCAAACTCCTGGGCTCAAGCAATCCTGCTACCACAGCCTCCCAAGTAGCTGGGACTATAGATACGCACACACGACCACGCTTGGCTAGTTTTTAAATTTATGCTTCGTAGGAACAGGTTCTCTCTGTTACCCAGGCTGGTCTCGAACTCCTGGCCTGAAGCAGTCCTTCTGCCTCAGCCTCCCAAAGTGCTGGGATTACAGGTGTGAGCCATCGCATCTGGCCTACACTTTTCTTGAAACACAGAAGGTGGCATATTACATGTATTGTTCCAGAACTTGCTTTAAAAATATATATATACATATATGTGTCTGTGTGTCATATATGTTATCTGTATATGTGTGTGTAATATATGTTTTATATATATGTCCCAGAGATCCTTCCACATCAATACAAAGATTCTGCCATTATTTTATTTTAACATTCTTTGAGTCCAAAACTCGAATTCAGCTGCCATCATCATTTTAGCTGTATCATGATTCCATCGTATGGCCGTCTGGATGTGCTGTAATGTGTTTAACTCTGTCCCGTGAAAGGTGGGCGCTGGCGATATTTCCGCTCTTTGGCTGTTAACAACAGTGCTGCTGTGAATATGTAGCTCAGTTTGCACCTTCACAAACACAAAGCACTCCCGGCAGTGGGATTGCTGATGGGAAGGTAGATGTGTTTTCAGTCAGGATAGCAGCTACCAAATCGTTCCTGTAGGCGTCACACCGTGGCTTGCGCTCAAGAATAGCGACGTGTGAGGAAACTCTTCCCCACAGCCTTGCCAACAGTTTATGAAAATTTAGATTTTTGCCAGTTTTCTAGGTTACAAAAAAAGAAAAAAAAAACTGTATAGTTGTAGTTTACATTTTTATGAATGAGACTAAGGAGGTTTTTACCCATCTAGATAGCTTCTTTTTTTGTTGTTTTTTTTTGTTTTTTTTCTGGTGAGACAGGGTCTCACTTTGTTGCCCAGGCTGGAGTGCAGTGCCATGGTGTGATCTCAGCTCACTGCAATCTCCTCCTCCCAGGTTTGAGTGATTCTCCTGCCTCAGCCTCCCGAGTAGCTGGGATTACAGGCATGCACCACCACACCCAGCCAATTTTTTTGTATTTTTAGTAGAGACAGGGTTTTGCCATGTTGCTCAGGCTGGTCTCAAACTCCTGGGCTCAAGTCGGGCTGCTATCTCGGCCTCCCAAAGTACTGGGCTTACCGAAGTGGGCTGCTGCGCCTGGCCCCGTAAGTTTTATTTTGTATGAGTTGGGATTCAGTGTGAAAACTAGAGACTACTTCAGGCATTTTAATCTGGAAGGGATGTCACACAGGGAAGGGGGGCGCTCACTCCCCTGTTACTGGAGGAGCTGAAGAGACAGATTTGAGGTTGGTCTCTAAGATATAACAGAAGTGACCTTCAAGGTAGCTGCTCCCTTCGAATCCAGTCTGAAACTGTTGAGTTCAGAACGCACGATGTGTAGCTGTGATCCAGGAGTGGAAGCTGCTACTTTTTTGTTTTGTTTTGCTTTGTTGAGATGGAGTCTCACTCTGTTGCCCAGGCTGGAGTGCAGAATCTTGGCTGACTGCAGCCTCTGCCTCCTGGGTTCAAGTGATTCTCCTGCCTCATCCTCCTGAGTAGCTGGGATTACAGGCATGTGTCACCATGCCCAGCTGATTTTTGTATTTTTAGTAGGGATGGGGTTTCACCATGTTAGTCAGGCTGGTGTCGAACTCCTGACCTCGTGATCCGCCTACCTTGGCCTCCCAAGATTAGAAGCTATTTCTGGAACTGCCTCTGAACATCTCATAAGCCAGTAGCCAGGACTGGGAACTTGCTACCAAAACGATTAGAAATCCCGCAGGCACTGAAGAACAGGCACCCCAGAGAACCTCTTATCAGCATGAGGGGCCAGGAAGCCTTTGCCTCCCTTCCACGCTTCAGATCTGACAAAGCACGTCCAATTGGCTGAACTGAATTGACTGTAACTCCAGCCCTAAGGGGCCCTGGGGAACAGGATATCAGGCTTTCCAACAGCTGCTGTAGGAGGAGGGTGGTTGGAAGAGCATGTGAGCCAACCCCCAGCACCTTTTCTTGTCTACAGTTTTATAGTGAATATGTATGATAATCAACCAGAAAAACACACCCAGAACTCCCCATTCGGAGACCCTTGGTATATTTCTTGCCAGTTTGTTTTCTTTGTGCATGTGGGTTAGAAATAAAATATGTATGTTTTGATATACATATCTATTATTTATATAACAATGGGATTGTACAGCCAGCCCTGCATATCCTTGAGTTCTGAGTTCATGAATTCAACTGCAGATTGAAAATATTTGGAGAAAAAATGACAGTCACATTGTCATGTGACTGTTCCCTAGCACTACAGCATAGCAGCTGTTTACATTTACATTGCATTAGGTATTGTATTAATAAGTAACCTAGAGATGATTTAAAGTATGTGAGAGGATGTGTATAGGTGAAATGTAAATACTACACCATTCTATACAAGGGACCAAGGCATTCATGGGTTTTGGTAACTGTGGGATGTCTTGGAACCAATCCTCCACAG